ATCAGGATGTCATAATCTCTTCTATCACAATGCTTTTACTTCTGAGGGGTGTGGGGATTTTAATAATAATAATAATAATAATAATAATAATAATAATAATACAAACAGAGGCAAAACCATGTGGCCCAAATGGCTCATTGGAACTTATGTCACAAGTACTAATGGAGCTGATTKTACCAGTTCCATACAATTAGCCCCTCACTTCCCAGCATGGGAAAATCCAATCTACAAGTGCCAGTAGTAAAGAACTGGTGGGATCATAAACCTGCAAAGGTAGTAGAAAATGAACACGCAAAAATACTGTGGGACTTTCAAATCCAGACTGACAAAGTTTTGGAACACAATACACCAGATATCATGATTGAGGAAAAGAAAAAGTTTGGATTATTGATGTTGCCATACCAGGTGACAGTCAAATTGAGGAAAAACAACAGGAAAAACTCAGCCATTATCAGGACCTCAAAATCAAACTGCAAAGGCTCTGGCATAAACCATACAGGTGGTCCCAGTGGTCATTGGTGCACTAGGTGCTGTGCTAAAAGATCTCAGCCAGCATTTGCAAACAATAAACATTGACAAAATCACGATCTGTCAACTGCAAAAGGCCACCTTACTTGGATCTGTGCACATCATTCAAAAATATATCACACTTGGGAAGTGTATGACTTCTGGTTTTGTGATACAAATTCCAGCATTTATATCTTGTTTGCTGTGTCATCCTGTGTTTTTGTGTCAATAAAATAATAATAATAATCTATGAAAAAGCCACCTGCCCGCCATTAATAGACAACTCATCTGTGTTGTTGTAAGAGAACACAATTATTTACAGTGGCTCCCTTTTCTGCCTACTCTAGTCACTCCCTGAGCATGAAAAAAAACTATTTTTAAAATTACAACTGTCAGAATCCACAACTGGCCTGGCTGCAAAATAGTTTCTCCCTCCCTGATTTGACCTTGGCTCCAGGAAGACTGGGCACTATTTACAGGTATCCTACCCAGAGAGGTATCAGGGCATCATATTCTCTAATACCCTCTCTAATACCCTTATCTGTAGTGAAGCCTAGAGCTTTATCTGGTCATTCCTACTAGTGCCACTGGGACCCACCCAGGGATAGGGAATGGGGGGGGGGGGTTGAAACGCTGTCCTCTGTATGATTACATACAGTAGTTTTTACTTAGGATCTGGTTCTCTTATTGTGCAAGCCTCATGTGGGCATTTTCATTGACACTTATTGTTGGGTGCTGGCAGTTTCCAGGAATGCCTGAGGTGTATCTGTCATCTTGCCATTGTTTTTTGTATTTTCTGGTGGTGTGTTTCCCTTTCCCTTCTCTGAGCACATGATGGATATAGTGGCTGCTTCACTACAGTAATATCAGTACATGTTTTCATATTATGCAATAAGAGAATGCTTCTGCCTTTATCCTAACTCTTAATGTTTAATGAGCATTTAAGTGTACTGTTAAAGATGTTGCCAGCCATTTTTCGGCATTACTAACCAAATTATATGCATTAAAGAACTAGACCGTGACAAGTAGAACTGTCATCTCCTGTTGATTTATGTGCAAGTCATTCCTTGTTGGAACCCCTGGTGGTGCAGTGGGTTAAACCGCTGAGCTGCAGAACTTGCTGATTGAAAGGTCAGAGATTTGAATCCAGGGAGCGGCATGAGCTCCTGCTGTTAGCCCCAGCTTTTGTCAACCTAACAGGTTGAAAATATGCAAATGTGAGTAGATTAATAGGTACCACTCCAGCGGGAAGGTAATGGCACTCCATGTAGTCATGCTGGCCACATAACCTTGGAGGTGTCTACGGACAACACTGCCTCTTTTGCTTAGAAATGGAGATGAGCACCAACCCCCCAGAGTCGGACACAACTGGACTTAATGTCAGGGGAAAACATTTACCTTTACCTACATTCTTTGATCCATAAATAATATTATATTGGATGGAGAAATATGTTTTCCAACATTATTTGGTATTGGTGATAGAAGGAGTCACTCCAGACAATGTCCATCAATCTGATTATGAAAGGCACATGCATCTCTGGCTGCCCTTCTGAAACTGGGAGAAGTACTCCATTAGTTATGCATCTTTGGCTGCATTTTTGGTTATGAAGTGTGTTGCACATTCACATGGTCAATGCCACAGTGCTATCGTTTGGGCCAATGAAACACAGAAGTCCACCTGCAGAAAGTTACAGCATGATGTCTCCATATAGTCTCCTGGCCCATATTGGCATTCTCTTTATTTTATGCAATACATGAAAGCTTCCCTGTGTGTATTCTATTTAGCTTACCCAGTGGAGGTTTCATATCACCTAATCAAAAGTTGTTATCACTGCTAGTGATCTATCTTTTAATCAAGTGATGAGAAATCATGCTGTATGCATCCACTGTGAAATAATCCTTGGCTTAAATTCCTCTAAAGAAGGAGACTCCACACTCTGAATACGCTGCCTCTGAGTGTGATGGAATCTCCTTCTTCAGAGGTTTTAAACAAACGATAGATGGCTATCAGTCAGAAGTGCTTAGATTATATTTTCCTGCATGGCCAGATAGAATCATAGAGTTGGAAGAGACCCTGTGGGCCATCCAGTCCAACCCCCTGCCAAGAAGCAGGAAAATTGCATTCAAAGCACCCCCGACAGATGGCCATCCAGTCTCTGTTTAAAAGCCTCCAAAGAAGGAGCCTCCACCGCACTCCAGGGCAGAGAGTTCCACTGCTGAATGGCTCTCACAGTCAGGAAGTTCTTCCTCATGTTCACATGGAATCTCCTTTCTTGTAGTTTGAAGCCACTGTTCCGCGTCCTAGTCTCCAGGGAAGCAGAAAACAAGCCTGCTCCCTCCTCCCTATGACTTCCTCTCACATATTTATATACATGGCTATCATGTCTCCTCTCAGCCTTCTTTTCCTCAGGCTAAACAAGCCTAGCTCTTTAAGCTGTTCCTCATAGAGCTTGTTCTCCAGACCCTTGATCATTTTAGATCATTTTAGATGGAGTTCAACGTGATAGAATCATAGAATCCTAGTGCTGGAGGAGACCACAAGGACCCTTGTGATGGCACGTGGTTTTTTCCTGCAAGAAGATTATGTGATTCCGCCTTCAAATTTATAGTCCACCATAGAATAAAGGCTCTGGATCAGTGGTTCTCAACCTGTGGATCCCCAGATTTTTGGCCTTCAACTCCCAGAAATCCTAACAGCAGGTAAACTGGCTGGGATTTCTGGGAGTTGTAGGCCAAAACACCTGGGGACCCACAGGTTGAGAACCACTGGTCTAGATCCTTGCCAAATAAATTAGTGCATCTGCAGATAATAAGCAAGCCCAGTATCAGTGTTCACCTCAATCATAATATCCATCCCATCCATTTGAAATAATCACTAGCACAACTCTGCTTTCACAGTCTGTCTCTACCTGTATGTACCTTTTTGTTTTGATAGCATGGCATTTTGCTTATCAGCGCAGCATCATGGAGGCAAGAGAAGGTAGCAGGACACTCCTTTGTGCTTCCTTAGCAGGTGATTGCTACTGTACGAATCAGAGCTCCCACGGGCTGAGTGTGCCACCATCCCTTCAAAAGCAGCAAGAAAGTGCACGCAGATATTTCCTTCCAATGCCATGTGGAGCTCAACCTGCGAGAGATTTGTGCCTGAATGCACATCTCCATCAGCAGGTTTCACCAACTGGAACATTTCATCTCATTTCACATCCCAGCTCCCCATTGGAATGGCATTAGATCTCAATGTTACTGCAATTAGCCTTGTTTTCAGATCACCTCCTGCTGCTAGATGTTTGAAGATTTGACCTCAACTACTCTATAATAGTATAAGCTGTACACTGTATAGCAGGTGAGGGCAAACTTTGGCCCTCCTGGTGTTTTGGACTACAACTCCCACAATTCCTGGCCTCAGGCCCTTTCCTTTTCCCCCTCAGTCGCTCTAGGAGAATATGTTGCTCACTTGCTGCTCCTGGCAAAACTATTTTCTATAAGTAAATGGCTTATATTTGCAATGTGTTTTAACACATTCAGCCTACAAATTGTGCAGAACTCTTCATCTGAAGAACCACTGAGATAGAGAGTTGGAAGAGACCTCGCCATCCAGCAGCAAAATCACATTCAAAGCACCTCAACAGATGACCATCCAGCCTCTGTTGAAAAGCCTCCAAAGAAGAAGCCTTCGCCACACTCTGGGGCAGAGAGTTCCACTGCTGAACAGTTCTCACAATCAGGAAGTTCTTCCTGATGTTCAGATGGAATCTCCTTTCCTGTAGTTTGTAGCCATTGTTCCACATCCTAGACCTAGGGCCATTCCTCACAGCCATATAACCCAGAATATCAAGGCAGACCCCTGGTGATGCAGCAGGTTAAACCACTGAGCTGTTGAACTTGCTGACCAAAAGGTCGATGGTTTGAATCCAGGGAGCAGGGTGAGCTCTCGCTGTTAGATCCAGCTTCTGCCAACCTACCAGTTTGAAAGCATGCAAATGAGAGTAGATCAACAGTTACTGCTCCGGCGAGAAGGTAATGGTGCTCCATGCAGTCATGCTGGCCACACGACCTTGGAGGTGCCTGTGGACAATGTCAGCTCTTCAGCTTAGAAATGGAGATGAGCACCACCCCCCCAGAGTCAGAGATGACTAGACTTAATGTCAAGGGGAAACCTTTACCTTTACCTATCAAGGCAGAACATCCCACAATATCTGCTTTGAACAGGGTTGAGTCCAACTGCCATATATTCCAGTTCAAAGCAGATAATCTGGAGTTTTATTCAGCTGTGAAGGGGCCCTACTAAGGACTAAAAGTAATAGTATTCTATAGGGATTTTGTTTTGTTTTTTATTTCTATGGAGAAATTGAAAGAATTGTGTATTACATACTTATTTTATGATGTGATTTCTCTGCCTAACTAATTTAGTTCAAGTAGATGTACCTTTGCAGGTAAACAAGACTGATACTATTAAATCAATTCATTCCACAAAATAATGTTATGTTCAGAATTTGTTTATTTTTGTACAAAATGTCATAATTTATCAATATTGTGCAGCAAAATATAGTATCGCTCACATCCCCAAAATAACCAGACAACATTTCACTTCCTTTCACTCACTTTCTGCCCTTTACGAAAATGGCAATACTGGTTTGGCAGCTCAGCAGCTAAAAATAAAGTGCTATAATTACGTAGTCTTGGAATGCCTCCACTTCACAAATGTGACACACAATCGTTTAGACAACCACACTGAGTTTTGTTTTGCTTGTAATGTTTAGGCTTACACAACCAAAAGCTCCATATCTTTCACATTCTCAAGGATATACAGACATAAAGTGCTACTGTTTAAACTTTCCCTCCCCCTGGAAAAAACAATTTCACAACATGGATCTGGTTCACACCAGGCACTGTAATTCACAAAAGTCAAAAATTGTCCTTTTGTGAAAAACTGCACAGAGAAGGAAGTTGCTCAGACATCGCTGGGGGATCGTGAACGGAAGGGCACTGTGGACTGAAAGCAGCCGCAAAAGAGAACCCACATGGACCGCTGGATTTCTTGGTTCCTATAGGCATAAATTATAGGATTGATCATGGAGTTGTAAGTGGCAGGTAGAAGTGTGGCATAAGTGTACACAGCGGGATACTGGGGCTCCCCAACTACACAGTAGATGGCAAAAGGCAACCAACTGGCTCCAAAGGTCCCGAGGATAATAGCCAGTGTAGAGACCCCCTTTTTGGTGGCTACGTAGTGGGAAGCAGTCAGGAAATGCTGCTGGAGTGCTATCTGATGTGCATGCCTGCAAACGATTTTGCAGATTTTAATGTACAGGTGGAGCATGAGGATGAAGATGAAGAAGAAGGAGGCTGACAGCAAAGTCACGTTGCTTTTGGTCAAAGGTCTGACAATACTGCAGGATGAATAATCTTCTAGGCAATTCCAGCCCAAGACGGGCAGCAGCCCCAAGCAGAGGGAAACCCCCCAGGTGACAATCAGCATCATATGGATGCAGAGAACAGTCCTCTCGGAGTAGTAAGTCAACGCATTGTACAGGGAAAGGTACCGGTCGACTGTGATGGCTAGCAGGCTACTCACGGAGGCTGTGAAAGAGGCAACGAGGAAGCCGACAGTGATAAGACTGATGGTTTCCGACTGGATCAAATACTGGAACACAAAGTTGAGGATGAGGCCCACTCCAGCCAGGAGGTCCGCGGTGGCCAGGCTCCCAATCAGGACAAACATTGGGGTTCTCAGGCTGGGAGTGTAGATGATGATGGCCACCACAATGGCATTTTCACAGGCAATGATGGTCCCGGAGATGCAGAGCATAATATCCCAAGGGTTGATGAGGAAGATGGGGAGCTTGGAGGAAAGTTCCAGGGAGGAGTTGCCAGCGCTGGCCTGGATCCAGGGGGCAGGGCCCCCCGTCTCGTTCGAAGGGGCGCTCTCATTCATTTCTGCCACTGCCAGGCCTGCCACCTGGAAGGAGAGGAAGAAGAAGGAGGAGACGGAAGAGAAGGAGGAGATCAAGAAGGAAAAAGAGAAGAAGGAGGAGATGGAGAAGGAGATGATGGAGGAGGAGGAGAAGAAGGAAAAGGAAAAGATAAGAAGGAGGAGAAGGAAAAGGAGGAGAAGGATAAGAAGGAGGAGAAGGAAAAGGAGAAGAAGGAGGAGATGGAGATGATGGAGGAGGGGGAGAAGGATAAGAAGAAGGAGAAGGAGAAGAAGTAAAAGGAGGAAGAAAGAGGAGGAGGAAAAAAGAGGAAGAATAAAGTAAGGATAAAAGAAGAGAGGGGGAAGAAGGAGAAGTAGAATTACAAAGAAGAATGAGGAGGAGGAGGAGGAGGAGAAAGAAGGAGAAGAAGAAAAAGGAGAAGAAGGAAAAAGAAGGAGAAGAAGAAAAAGGAAGAGGAGAAAAAAGAAGGGAAAGGAGAACAAGAGGGAGAAGTAGGTGAGAAGAAAGAAGAAGAGAGGGGAGGAAGAAGGAGAAGAAGTAGAATAATGAAAGAGGCAGAGGAGGAGGAAAGGAAGGAAAAGAAGAAGAAGAAAAAGAAGAAGAAGAAACAACGTTAAAACAATGCAAAACATAAGTCTATGCGCTCTGAACATTTCAGAAGTAAGGGGAGCATGTGAGGAGGAAGGGGCAGAAGGAGAGGGAAGTCCAAGGCGAAGCCAAGGGGAGCGGGAACTTGATCAGGGCAAGAAGAGGGCATCATTCTTACCAGAGAGGGAAGGAGGCAAGGTCAGGAAGAAGAAAGCCGAGACCGCATGTGCTGCCGCGTCAAGAACCGGGAAGGACTGGCAGGAGCTGTCCGAGGTGCTGAAGCTAGGCTCCAGGTCCGTCCGGCTGCAGAAGCTCCTCCGCGCTCTGTCCGCCCGCCTCAGAGGCAGCCAGCCACCAAGCTGAGGAACACACTCCCAAGGGCCGCCCTTCGGCACTCTCTGTCTCTCGGGGGCTGCGAGGCTTCCTTCCTTCCTTCCTTCTTTCCTCGTCCGTGGCGCGACTTCGCGTGGCTGTGGCTGGCAAGCGACTGAGCGCAGGAAGGCGCGAGCAGAGGCTCAGAGGCTGCCAGTCTGACGTCAATGCCAGCCGGGCGAGGGCAGGGCGGAAGAGGCTCCCCGCGGGAAGGCAAAGGCCTCAGAGACCCCCTCCCTCCCCCTTCCCCCCTCCCCCTTGGCTGGGAGGTTGAGAAAGGGAGGGAAGGGGCACGTGGACTGGCAGGAGGGGCGGGAGGAGGAGGAGGCGCCCAAACCTTTGGGGAGCTGAGGAGGAAGGAGCCATTAAGGCTCCCCAGGCCACCCCACCACCTGCAGCAGGTATATCTCTCACCAGTGGGGGATTCCTCTAGCATAGGCATGGGCAAACGTAGGCCTTCCCTCCAAGTATTTTGGACTTCCACTCCCACCATTTCTAACAGCCTCAGACCCTTTCCTTTTCCCCCTCAGCCACTTAAGCAACTGAGGGGGGAAAGGAAGAGGTCTGAGGCAGTTAGGAATGGTGGGAGTGGAAGTTCAAAACACTTGGARGGAAGGCCCAAGTTTGCCCATGCCTGCTCTGAAGGGGGGAAAGATGGGTGTAAGGCAAGCCAGGCARTGAAAAGCTACTTTCTTGACTCAGGGGGGAAATAAAATAGGAGTGTGTTCACAGATGGAGCGCAGCTCTCTCTTCCTTACCAACATCAGCTGAATTGCTTCTTCGCAAAAGGCAGCAACAGCACTTATGTCTGCACACCTCATTAACAGCTTTCTGGCCAAAGTGTATCAAGATCTTGAAGTGTAGGTGTGCACCTTTAGGAAGAAAGTGAAGCTCAGTGATTTTCAGCAGCTGTCCTTGTATTCAAGGTGGTTGAAGTTTGGTGGCATATTCAAGTTGTACCGCCACATTTTTATTATTTTTCACTAAATAACTGTAAAAAAGCAGATTATTCTAAAGGATGTGAACAGTCCAATTCAATGCTTCTGTGCACAAATCCTCACAAAATGGTTCAGTCAGTAAGCTGAAGATAGCTCTGAATAAAGGACCTGTACAATGTACACCAGGAGCCTCCGATGGCGCAGTGGGTTAAGCTGCTGAGCTCTGAGCTTTTTGACTAAAAGGTTGCAGGTTCGAATCCGGGGAGTGGCATGAGCTTCCATTGTCAGACCCAGCTTCTGCCAACCTAGCAGTACAAAAACATGCAAATGTGAATAGATCAATAGGGACTGCTCCACAGGAAGATAACGGCACTCCATGCAGTCATGCCAGCCACATGACCTTGGAGGGGTCTACAGATAATGCCAGCTCTTTGCCTTGGAAATGGAGATGAGCACCAACCCTCAGAGTTGAACACAACTGGACTTAATACAAACCTTTACATTTACCTTTACCTTACAATGTCCTAGATCAGTGGTTCTCAACCCTCCTGATGCCTCAACCCTTTAATACAATTCCTCGTGTTGTGGTGACCCCCAGCCATAGAGTTATTGTCGTTGCTACTTCTTAACTCTAATTTTACTATTGTTATGAATCATAATGTAAATATCTGATATGCAGGATGTATTTTCATTCACTGGATTAAATTTGGCACAAACACCTGATACACTCAAATTTGAAGACTGGTTAATTGATTTTGTCATTTGGGAGTTGTAGTTGCTGGGATTTATAGTTCACCTGCAATCAAAGAGCATTCTGAACTCCACTGATAGAATTGAACCAAACTTGGCACACAGAACTCCCATGACCAACAAAAAATGCTGGAAGGGTTTGGTGGGCATTGACCTTGAGTTTTGGAGTTGTCGTTCACTACATACAGAGAGCACTGTGGACTCAAACAATGATGGATCTGGACCAAACTTGGCATGAATAATCAACACGCCCAAAAGTGAGCACTGGTGGACTTAGTGGAAAATAAATTTGACATTTGGGAGTTGTGGTTGCTGGGATTTATAGTTTTCCTACTATAATGAAAGAATTGGACCAAACTTCCTGCACAGAACCTCCTGACCAACAGAAAAGACTGTGTTTTCTGATGGTCTTTGGCAACCCTTCCGACACCCCCTCATGACCCTCGGGATGCTGACCCCCAAGGTTGAAAAATGCTGTCCTAGATTACTAAGTCATCTGCAAACCCAATCAACATTTGAGCCACACAGTTTACAGAAAACCCACACACGCAGATAGATACCTACAAAAAAAAATCACCTAAGTCAAAAAAGAAGCACAAAGAAGCACCGTGCAAAAAGAATCTGCAAACCGCATGTCCTCCAAGTGAACTGAACCACCTAAACTGGGCTCTACAGGCCAATGGATATTCCACCACTGACATCAGAAGAGCTGCAAGACCGAGAACAAGCCATGAGAGTAAAGACAAAGATCCACCCAGAGGAAAAGTGTTCTTGTTATACATCAAGGGAACCACTGATTGCATAGGGAAGCTGATCAAGAAACGCAATCTACAATCAGCTCACTAAGAAAATCCAACAAATGCTATGTTCAGCAAAGGACAAGAAGGATCCTCTCACCTCTGCAGGAGGTTATCGTATAACATGCAGCTGTGGACAAGTCTACTTAGGGACCACCAAATGCAGCATTACCCAAACTCTAATCAGGGAACATGAAAGGCACTGCAGACTACTTCAGAGAGAAGTCAGCCATAACAGAGCACCTGATTAACCAACATGGATAAGCATATTATTTGAGAACACAGAAATGTTGGATCACTCCAATAATACCATGTCAGACTACACAGAGAAGCCACTGAAATACACAAGTATGTGAGCAATTTCCACAGAAAGGAGGAAACAATGAAAATGAACAAAATCTGGCTACTAGTATTTAAAAACTCTAAAATCAGGACAGTAAAAAAAAGAACACCACTTAAAAATAGGGGAATTCCAGACAAGAAACAGTTAGGGTCAGCTAATCACCTCCCAACAAAGGATCCCCCCAGGCAGAAAGCAGCCCAAGCCTCCCAAAGATGCCAAATGATAAGAAAAAGCCTAAATATACCTCTATCTGTTGTCTGTCTCGTCATTGTATAGTTGGCATTGAATGCTTGCCATATATGCGTTCTTTGATCCACCCTGAGTCCCCTGAGTCTGGGTGAGAAGGACTGAATAAATACTGTAAATAAATAAATAAGGGGCCGCTAACTAGGCAGCAATGCTTATGAGATTTTCTGGAGTGTCACCAGACAATTCTATTTTGTTCAGGATTCCTATGCTATAGATTACTTGTACCCACATCCATATATAGGCCTGGTTCTGAGCCCTTGGTCTTGGGGGTAATTTGCAGGAGATGAAGGTGCAAATTCTCCAGCCATCTCCAGGCAACAGGAATAAATAATTTGCAGAATTCTAGCTTACCTAGAAGAGCAACAGCTTGCTACAATTTTGAAAGGTTAATGGTTTTGTAGCTTGATCTTTCAAAGGGGGTCTATTTGATTACTTATGAGAGCCAGTGTGGTGCAATAGTGTGAGGGTTGGCTATGATTCTGGAAACCAGGGCCCAAATTCCCACTAAGACATGGAAACCCTCTGAGTAGCCTTGGGAAAGTCACACTCTCTCAGTCTCAGGCAAAGGCAAACTCCCTCTGAACAAATCTTGTCAAGAAAATCCTGTGATAGAGTGATTGTACAATTCCTAAAAGACAGAAATGACTTGAAGCTACACATCAACAAGGCTACCCGGCGGGTTTGCATGGCTGAAAAAGGAATTTGAATCTTGGTCTCAAGAGCTCTAGTCCAGTGCTCAAACCACTACATCACACTGAGACTATCACTTTTACGTGCAGGTAAATGTAAGTGAATCTGGATAAAGACAGATCTATATCACTGAATTATACATCATATCAGGCAAATCACGTATTGCCAGCCACTGTTTCCTCATTCATTTAGTGGAAATTATGGCAACTTTTATCTGATTGCTGTGAAAGTGATGAGAAAAAGCTCTGTAACATAGTTTGCACTTTGAGAATGCTATATTTCTTCCAAAAGAAATAATAATAGTGACAGTTAACAAATTATGTCAGAACCATTAGTATCTCAGTGTACTTAGCCTTCTTAGTAGTAGCAGTACCTTCTTCCAAGGGAAATGTGGTCAGCTTCTTTAGTTGCACTGCTTTAAAAAGCTGATACAGCACAGCAATTGCAATCATTGGGGAGGTCAGGTCCTTGTCAAGCCCCGAGGTGATGCTTCAATAGCCCTGGCGTAATTGGGCCGATGCTACTAAACTTCAAACTCCAACAATACAGCTGTGGAAGAAAGTTTAAAGGAATACAGGAAAAACCAAGAAGCAATGTGACTCTGTAGAGAAGGGAGGAAGGGGAGAGAAATAGCTGCAGAAATGGAAAGAGAACGATCTATAGTTGTTGGCTGCAATATAAGTGCAAAATGTGCCTTCTTGCCAGAAAACATCACCAATTGCACCTTTCAGCAAGTGCAAATTAGTAGCTGTTTTGGAATTGATAATCAATGCACCGTGTTTAGTCTGTTCAATTTATCAGAGTACATAGACAGAACACAGAGAGAATTGATCCTACAGAATCAACAGGAAGAAACCGCCAAGGAAAATGAACTTGCCAGCAACACTGAAGAAAATTAAAATGCTTGTAGCAGTCATGAAACACCCTGCAAGAGGAGCAGACCATACGGAATAGATCCAGAAGTTCTCCAAATAAGCAATCACTTCTTACCTCTTGAGGAGAATAGCAGCAGTGAAGACACTCAGGCAAACCAGCAACAAGGGATACTTAGTGCCAAGAAAGGAGTCAAGATAATCCTGACAACAAGAAGCAAAAGAAAAGAGCTGCAGGTTGGGGACTTGTTGCTCAGGGACTGAATGGCACCTGTGTGCACGCCTGACCAGATGAATTAGGGAATGTGCTGTCTTTCTAGCATATTTATCTGGGATGCCACTGACAACTTGCCCAAACTCATCAAGAACTCAGATCAATACCCCTTTCTCCTTATTCACATGGGCATCAACAATAAGGATGAGTTGGCTACTTACTTATTTATTTACCTAGGCGATCCCTCATAGCCCAGGAATGATGGTCCTCTAAGTGTAGTATCTTGGTGGTGGGTCCATAGGTG